GCCACCCCGCACCCCAGAGAAATCCAAAATATAGGTGTTGCAGTAAAAGAAAACCTGGACACAGGAGACGTACGCACTCCCAGYTCGCAGTCTTTTAAAATGTGCAAAGATAAGGCAGAACAACATGTAGAAGCACACAACTAAATAAAAAGAGGTCAGCTCTGTTTGAAATCGTTTTCAGCAGCACTTCCTTTTTCTCTTTGCTACATTAAGTGATACAAAAACGACACATTCATGCTGCCATAATGCTGCACTGACACAGGGTTCAGTGTGTGAAAGGCTGTCTCTGGGCTTTTATAGGCAAATAAAAGAGTTTATTAGACATTAGAACTATCGTCTAACCAGTATTGGAAAAAATAAACTTTAATACATATTTATGATTTTATTATTTAACTTTGTATCATCTCTTTTTTTTATTTTACKAAATGTGATCAATTTAACAGATTCAGCTGATGTTTTTGTGTCAAAATTGCAGATAATAATAGTGTACAGTTTTAATTATTAAAAAAAGATAGATCAAGGTATGAAAAAAATTGCTTAATAGAATAATATGAATTTTATTAGATTGAAAACAGAACAAAAATGTTAATATGCAACAAGTTTTTGAACTGTGCTGATATTAAGCGGGAAATTTATACATTTTTGCAACTCAGATTTTATTTTATTTTATCTTTTACACACATTTTTCCTTATTCTCTAATTTTTTTCTTTTAATATTTCAAGCCCTACTTTTAACAGTCAATTAATTCTGTACTTTTTTGCAATTGGACTTTGAGATATTTACTTTAAATCAGTTGAAGTGGTTTTACATCACTGCCAAATTCAAGTTGTGGTTTGCATGGATTTTTCATTTCTAATTTTAATTTTTAATTAACCTGTGTGCTGTCTTTAATTGAGCTGCAGGCATCAGGGGAGCAATTACTCTACCAAGCCCAAACACAAAACCTCCTGCTTACAATGACAAAACAGAGAAAGCATGAAATTACTGCTAATTTTGATCACAAATTGATTCATTAGCTATATTCTTTCAGTCAATCTGAAAAACTTCATCTGTGCCTATAGGTTAAAACATTTTTTAACAATCAAATAATTTAGTCCAATTTTTCTTTAATTTGAAAAAACATTTAGTTTATTTATTTCCTTTCTTGTTTTTTGATCATCTCAGTGGGTTCAGAAGTTTGCCTGTACAACAACTCTTCTCTCTGGTAGGACTGAACCATTTTATGTCCTCTTCAGAGTCTCCTCATTTCACTAAAACAAAGCTGTCATTAAATCAGAACTCTRGTCTCTGAACTCTTGAGAGTTCATCAGCGGGCCGAGTTCTAACCAGATCTGAAGTTTTGTTTCATTAAATGGATTCATTTATAAATCTGTTCCTWCTTTGTTTTAAAATCCGTTGGATTCCACTTTCCTAATTTATATCCTAATCGTGAAGTCACTTCATGAATGAAGGTAAAATATAAACATCCTCCTCGTCTGTTCGATGTCTGAGCTCAGTGTTTTCATTTCTGCTTCACACACACACACACACACACACACACACACAC